GAAAAGAGTAGATTTCAACATCGTCTGCAAAAAGAAGCGATGGAAATGAATGAGTGTCAGGGAGGGGTGAGGCGGGGCTGGGGAGGATGGAGGATGGACATCACACTTAACCCACACCTAACCATGTTGTGCATGGCCTCCTGCCTTCATCCTTTCTGGTCCTGACACTCCATTCCTCTGGCCAAAGCCCCATCCTTTCAGACACAGCTGACACAAACGCTCTAGGATGTAGCCTTGCCCGGTGACTCCACTCCCCACCACCTGTAGATTTCTGGGTGCTTCCAGCTCACTGCCCAGCACTGAAGTGTCCTAGAGGCCCTCCCTGCACGACTGCGTCCTGGCCTCCGCGAGAGCAGAGACCGAGCCCGTGCTGACTGTGGCCTCGCTGTGGCCCGGCCACCATGGCTTGGGTCAATAAGTGGCTGAACAAACGAAGTAAAAGGACACTGTTGTTGACTCAGCAGCTTTACTTCTGCTCAATAACAAAGCAGACCTAGCACTTTGGGTTTTCAAATTTCCTCGTTAAAACCAGGAAACGTTTCAAATGTGCAGAGAATATTAGGACACTCATGCCTCCCACCTTCCAGACTGGTTCACTGCCAAACTCCTGTAAGTCAGAACCTGGCAGAGACTATCTCGAATCAAAACGACTGAAGTCGGATAGATTTTCCCACAGAAACAAAATGATAACACCAAGTTAGTTCTCTGGCTGTGGACCTGGTGCTATTTTTTTTTTTTTTTTTTAACTTTTAAAAGGAGACTAAGCACTGCATTTAGCCAAGGAGGCCATATAAATCTTTCTAAAGAGCATATAAATTAGTCATTTGGTCCACACAGGCCAGCCACACTGTCTCTTGGTTCATGCGTGGGATGCTGTGCAGAATTCTTATCTTACTTCCTCATCACACTCAGTGCCTGGAGTGGGGGCCACAAGTCAGAGGCGTGGCATTTAGGAGGCTTCCTGGGACAGGTTCATTGTCTTTGTTGAAAAAATAGCTAGTTTTTCTAAACTATCATGGTCATTTATGTTTCATGTTTGATCATCATTTCTCTTAAGAATTAATTTTTACTGCCATTGTTTGCTCTTATAAAAGTAATATGACAGATTACAGAAAATTTAGATAACTCAGATAAGCCAACAGAAAAAAAATAACTTGAGTCCCACCTATAGGCAGACACTGTTCATTTTCTGGAGTGCATCTTCCCAGACTTTTTTCTGTGTGTGGGTGTGTGTGTAGGTACGTGCATAGGAACATATCCATTCATTCACACCTACACATTTTCTTCAGCACGGGGCTAAGACAGGCATATGTTTAGGGGTCTGTTTCTGTGCTCTTAATGTAGGGAGAGCATCTTGTTCTGGCATTGTACCTTCTACAAAATCTTGCTAAGCCTGGGAAGATTTTGGCAGACATTCTGGAGAGGGCTTTTGGAAAGAATTGGGGCCCCTTGGGAGTTTTAAGAAATGGTTCTAGGCCCTGGCCAATGTGGCTTCGTGGTTAGAGCATTGGCCCACACACTGGAGGGTTGCAGGTTCAATTCCCAGTCAAGGGCACATACCTGGGTTGTTGGTTTGTTTTCCAGCCCCAGTTGGGGCGTGTGTGGGAGGCAACTAATCAATGTGTTCCTCTCACATCAGTGTTTCTCTCTGTCTCTCTCTCTCCCCCTACCTCCTCCTCTTCCACTCTCTCTAAGAAAAATCAATGGGAAAAATATCCTCGGATGAGGATTAACAACAACAACAACAACAACAAAGGGCCATGTTTTTCTGCCCCTCTTGTAAAAGTATAGGAATCAGATATCAGGCCACATTCAGGGCTGAAATGTTTTTTCCAATTACTGCTTCAGCATATCTGTCGGTACGTGTTGCCCACCAATGTGATAGAATGAGGGGCCCGTGGCAGGCAGGGGGCTGAGTACAAGCAAAATCCTGTGGATTATCTAAAGAGCTGTGGTCACCAGCTGCCAATGTTCAGAAGATCCTTGAGAGGCACAAGTTTCTTTCCAGTCACTAAAGTATAGACAGATCTAATAAACTTTCTCCAGTCAATCAACGGGGATGGGGATGGAGGAACACGTTCTTGAAATGCCCAGTGCGTTTGTGAGCTATTCAAACAAAATAGAAAAAGGAAGCAAGATTCTCAGCCCCTCACCCCTTCAAGGTACAAATATAATTAAATCATTCTTTTCTGCTTGACTTGCCTTAGAGTTTTTTGGTGTTGGCAGCAAGAACATCACCAGGTGTTAGATCAGTGGGGTCAGACTGTACTTTGGTTCAGCAACCTTGGCCCGTCAGTTCTGGCTAAGAAAGAATTCAGAGTCAAGACTCAAACTATAAGAGAAAGTTTATTTAGAAAGTCACAGAGGTAGAGAAAGTGAGCAACAGAAGAAATGGACTCAGAAAACAAGTTACAGAGACAAAAGAAGGGTCCTTGGAGCTTAGGAGAAATAGAAAGGCAAACAAAACATGCCTGGGGGAAGAACAGGGGGAAGGGGAAGATGCTGGTGTACTCCTGGGAGGGAGAGCATACTGGGTACTCGGTCTTAAGGGTCTTTATCTGGAGGTCTCAAGAAAGGATCACAATAGAATATTCACCAGCTTTCCAGGTGTGTCCTTTCAGGGTCCTGCTCTCCACTGATTGTTGAGTGCCAGGGCAGGGGGCCATTGGTTCTTGCAGCATCACTTATCCAGTTTTGTTGCTTTTCTGGGCCTGGAACTGAAATACAGCCGAGGCCTTGATGTATTTGATGCGGGTCAGAACCTCATTGTCCTGGGGGCTTAATGCTTAAGGGCTATTCTCCAGCCTCCTTTGGTTTTCCCCCTCTAAGGGAGTCTAACCCACAGGACTAACAATGTGCCAGGGGAGGACATGTCAGGGGAGGGTCTGAACTTCATGACCCAATGATATTAAAGGTTAGGGGTCTAAACCATAACCAGTGATATGCTGGGGGGGGGGGGGAGGTCACCCTGGGGGTGAGGTCCTTGTTTTCCCAGTTTTACTCATTGCTAGGCACCCAGGCTTTCTGCCCTGATGGCCTTCTTGTTTGTTTGTTTTTTATCCTCACCCAGGACATTTTTCCATTTTTTGTTCAGATAGGAGGGAAAGAGGGAGAGAGAGAGAGAAACATCGACATGAAAGGGACACATTGAGTGACTGCCACCCGCACAACCCAACCAGGGCCGGGGACAAACTGCAACCGAGGTACGTGCCCTGAGCGGGAACCGAACCCGGGTCTCTCAGGACCGCAGGCCGACGCTCTAACCGCTGAGCCAAACCGGCCAGGGCCCTGATGGCCTTCTTTATCTGGCCCATCATCCTTGTTCTGCTCATGTCTAACTGCCTACACAGTAGGCCTTAGCTCTTTAAAGAAAATATTATATGATTAAAAAGGACTACATCATTAGCATTATAGATTATTATTTTAGGAGGATGTTTCTAAGCCCGAGTTTCCTCTTCTGTGTAATGGGGAAAAAAATAGATAATGCATTTCAATAGTGTTGTTGAGAATATTCAATGAGATGATATATATGAAGTGTCACCTGGCACAGACTAAGTGCTTTGTTGATACTGAATAGGAGAAGAAGGGACTATTTGATTATATTTTGAGTTTGACCACCTAGTTAAGATACATATTGGGAAATGAGAAAAATTATTTGCCTTTGCCTAGTATAACGTTCAATATTGAATGAATGAATGAATGAATGGTGGTATGGATGATAACATTTCTTCTGGACTTTGGTTAAGATGCCTTGTTCACCAAAAATCAATAATGTCTTTTTCCACAAAGGTGCTCTTAAAAATCTATTCTAGCCCTGGTCGGTTTGGCTCAGCAGGTGGAGCATCGGCCTGCGGGTCTGGAAAGACCTGTGTTCAGTTCCCGCTAAGGGCATGTCCCTCAGTTGCAGTTTGTCCCCGGCCATGGGGTCGTACGAGTGGTGACCACTTGATGTGTCCCTTTCCCGTTGATGTTTCTCTCTCTCCCTCCCACTCTATCTGAACAAAATAATGTTCTCGGATAAGGATTAAAAAAAAAAAATTCTATTCTACATGTCTGGTAGGGCAACTTGTTTTTTAAACAACTTTGTTCCTATAGTCAAGCAGGCACAGGACATTTGTGTTTGGGAGGAGGGATAGTCAGATAGCTAGGACTCTTCATTGACCTATTTATTCATCAGAAGAAATTGTTGCAGCATCTCTTAATAACTATTCAGTAATGTCCCCGCTGTTTTGAAGTTTGAATTCAACACAACATAGAGGCAACAGCAAGGCCACAAGCCTTTAGGCTCTTTGGCCACATCCTGTGGTTTCCCTTCTTGAGCTAATGGAGACTTGTGTTTGTGCCTTCTCTGGGGCTGCAGTGTGCTCCTCTGGAGGAGAGGCACACAGGGACAGAGCTCCCGAGGCGGGCACCAGTGTTGTCTTGGAGTGAGCCATGCCCTTCTCTGATGCAGCGTGACACTTCGTAGATGTTTGAACATCCCCCTAACAGACACTTAATGCCTTAACATGGACCCTGTTGCCTTGAACATACATAGTGCAACTGCACTGAAACTGGTTTGAAATGTTTGTGTGCAGCATGTCACTTCCAATCCACAGAATTTTTCAGGGGTCAGTCTTTCACCTGTAAAATGAAGGATTTGGAAGAGAAGGCTCAAAGGCTATTTGTAGCTCAGTCCAGGGAAGAGGAAAGAGCACTGGACCTGGAGTCGTGCCTGGAAATTGGCTCTGGCTCTTACCAGCCTGTGGCCCTGAGGCCCAGTTGCCTCCCCTGGGGAAGGGAATAATAATGACGGTTATTCTGGGCTCAGAAGCAAGTGATTTGTAAGTGGGATTCAGTGTGTAGTGGAAGGGATTCTGGGATTTCTTGTCATGCCAGTTGTGTGGCTTTGTAACTAACACAACAGTGTTACAGTGCCAGGTAACCCACCACTGGAACTGAGCTGAAGACCGAATAGGAAGCCAGCATTTACCTGACCTTCTCTTCTTTTCCGTGACTAGGAAATTCTGATTTGCACACTGGTTTGGCCCAGCGTAGCCGGAGAAATCTCCTGGGATGTATCATTTGTTATTCTGAACTTCTTGGTGCCAGGACTGCTCATTGTGATCAGTTACTCCAAAATTTTACAGGTACGTGTGCTTCCAGACCACAGCGCAGCTCCCCTCGGGCTCGGGCATTTCAGGGGGAATTTGAGCATTTCTGGGACAGAGGTTACTTTAGCGTTCACGCCAGCCCAGTTCTGGTTCACTGCCCAGCTCTACCCCTTCTCTAACAAAAATAGTTATCCCTTTATGATTGTTATTATTTTTCACTAGTCACTAAATACAAGCTTGTTACAAAAAATTAAAGAACTATAAAAATGTGTAACACAGACACTAAAGATCTACTCTACCCCCATTGTTAATACTTCATTGTATGTTTTTCCAGGTTACTTTTCTTACACGTTTACATATATGCATACTTATATGCTATGTATATCTATGATAAACCTTATAAAATGATCACATATCAACTATGTGTCATGATTCAACCTATTTTTTTTTTCAAATTTGAGATAATACTTTCTTAACTTCCTTTTTTCGCTTAACACGGCATCATAGCATCTTCCCATATTAGTTCCTTTATCTCTACCTCATCATTTTTAATGGCTTGATGATCTTCTGTCATATAGCTGTGACATAATTTACGTTATGGGCTTTTGGAATGTGTCCCTTGTTTTCCTACCACACACGGCCATGTAGTGATAGAGAACTTTAAAAACTTCTGATTGGAGCATAATATATGCACAGAAAAGCATGCCCAGCATACATGCACGGCTTGCAAACTGACCACACCCCCAAAGCAGCTGCCAGAAACAGCACGACAAACAGAACCTTACCCGAAGCTCCTCCCAGTCCCCCACCCCCACCCCCCCGCTTGCTGCCCTAACTCCTGGGAATCGGCCTTTCCAAAGCGGGCTGAAGCGGGAGCAAGCGCGTCCAGGGACCTAAAATAGACCTCCAGGCTGTTTCCTACCTCTGGAGGCAGCCCGTTTAGCTGTACGGGGCTGCTCCAGGCAGACAGCGTGCACGTGTGTTCATGCTTGTTTGAGAAGGTTTAATGCAAAGCCTTCGAGTCTTCGCAGAAGTTTACAATTGCTGAATCTTGGTTTTATAGCATATTAGGGGGCATCTGGCAGACAGGGATATTAAAGAGGGGCTGTGTAGGTCCTGCTTGCTGTCTGGCCACTTTTTTGGCCCTTTCTTTGTAGCTGAAGATCTATCACCTTCTTAGACACTCAAAAATCAAAGCCAGGCCAACCTCCACCCTGGTGTGCTAAGCCCAGGTCCTGTGGGAGACGGCCTCCCGGTGTTATTCCCTAACCTATCTCCCACAAGTTGACTTCTGACCCTCCTCTAAGTGACTCACCCCCACCTCCACTCCGCCTTGTGGGGCTTTTCAAGAGTATGAAGCCCGTTCAGGCCTGGAGTTAAGGTCTGTAAAGTGCCTGCAATGGAGCCTGTCATGTGTAAGTGCTACATAAATGTTAACTGTTACATTATGTTAAAAGAAAAGAAGTGAGGGGATAAGGAAGAGAAATGTAGAGTGTACAGAGATGTAGAATGTAGAAATAATTAAAACTTATTTTTGAAATTATTTAACAAAAATCTATGTAGCATTTACATTGTGTTAGGAACTAACTCATTTAATCCTACTAAGAATGACGGATGAGGAAACCAAGGTACAGAGAGGTTAAGTAACTTGTCCAAGGTCACACAGCTCATAAACAGCAGTTTCAAAATTTAAACCCGGTATAAGATAGTCTGGCCCCGGAGTTCCTCAGAAGCCAAGAAGGCTCTGGTCTTCTCCTTCCATTTACATCTCGTACTTCTCAGCTGCCTGCTGAGGGAGGACTGGCTAATTCCATAAAAAGTTTTCCCGCCCACCCCTTCATCCCTTCATCTTTTCCCCAGGCCAGGGCCCACGTGGAATCATTCTGTGAGAACCCAAGAGCCCTGATGAGTTGGGGAAGGTGTAAAGAAAGTGATGGGTCTAAATTATATCTTTGACCCAGAGCTCAGGGTAGCATTCCACAGCTGTGAATCATGATAGATTCTGTTTCATCCAGGAGCTGACCTGGGGTCTGTGATGGAAGAACCGAAGGGTAGCCAGGGGTTTATATGCAGAGTGTCTGGAAAGTGATGAATTGGATAAGAGGACACCTCCTTAGTTCTCTGTGATCTGGCACCTGCCTGCTCCTCTCACCTCATCTTCTCCCTTGTCTTGTGTCCATGTTGGCTTTGGGGCCGTTCCTCACACATGCCAGTACACTGCTGCTTCAGGGCCTTTGCACCTGCCATTTTCTCTCCTAGATCTCTCTTCCCCAAATTCTTCATGGGCCATTTCTCCCCTTCATTTAGGTCTCTATTCAAAAGGCTGTTCCCCAGAGACATTCCCCATCATTCTCTCGTTTATTTATTTATTTTAATCATCACTCAAGAATATTTTTGTTATTGATTTGAGAGAGAGAGAAAGCAAGAGAGATGTGAGAGAGAAATATCAATCAGTTGCCTCCCATATACTCCCTGACTGGGGATCGAACCCACAATCTAGATGTGTGTTCAGACCAGAAATGAAACCCACACCCTTTTTGGTGAATGGGACGACACTCTAATCACCTGAGCCACCTGGCCAAGGCTCTATCTCTCTCTACTTACTTCTCTTCAAAACGCACAACCCCTGTCATATTCCATTTATATGTATTTATTTATATGTCTTCTGTGTTTCCCATCAGAATGAAAGCTCTGTGAGGGCAGAGACTCTGTTTACTATTATAGCCCTGTGTCTAGAACAGGGGCCTGGCTTATCCATTGTAAGTGCTCAGTAAACAGTGAACAGGTGAGGCACTGAAAGGGCAGCGGTACCTTCTCTTGGGCAGTGGGAAAATCCCTGGACAAAGAGTCATAAGACCCAGGTTCTAGTCCAAACTTTATTACTGTGTGACCTTAGGCAAGTCACTGAATTAATATAGACCTGTTTTCTCTGGGCCTAAATGGGCCTCGGTGGATTGTTTAATGCAACAAAAGGAGAGTACAGATATGCGAATGTTTTAAAAATCACGTTAGTGCAAATGTAAGACTTTTAAAAACTTACTCCCCCCTTACTAGCAAAGCTGTTGCCCATTTCCCAGGAGGACTATAACGTTTGTCCTCACTTTGCACCTGTGGTTTTGCCAGGCTGATAACTTGGAAGCAGATTAGTGCTGCCAGGAGGATGGAGGGTCTGTGCACGCCCTCATGTTGTGCATCTCTCTCCCTCTGAAGACATTCGTACTCAGAGACGCTGAATCAGCTTTTCTGCCCAGTTTCTGTCAAGAGCATAACTCTGTAGAATCAGATGAATGTCAATGTTATATAGTCATAGAGACACAAGTAGCAAATCATTTGAAGCCATGGGACACAAAGCTACACCACCTACCCCTTCTCACATGCCCTACCTTTTACCTGTCACTACTGCCTCTAACTCAGATTCCATCTCTAGGTCTGAGAAGTGCCTTTTACAAATTATCCTGATCTTTTATTCCTCTGAAGCAGGGTTCCCCACAAAGCACTCTCTAGAACTCCATGGGATGTTCGATATTAGAAAGGGTTCCATGATCAAATGAGTTTGGGAAATGCTAGGTTAATCAAAGTTAAATGGATTTCTTTGCTGCAGGACTTCTCAGCGCCTTTATTATGTGAATGTACTTTGAGAATCTCCAACACAGGAAAAGAGTAGGCACTATTGCGAAATCTGACAGCAGGGCTGTCTATTTACCACAGAGCATCTCTCTGGACAGGGACCCATGAATCTCCTTTGGGAAACTGCTCTAAAGACCCCACCCTAGTTGCTGGTTCTGCCCTGGTCAGGGATTGAGAACAGACGTCACCGGGGCTCGTCCCTTCCAGGACTGCTTCAAGGGCTCAGGACAGTGGCCTTATCTGCCCTTCTGCCTTCCCTGCTTCCTTTTTTCTTATGACTCAGCCATGCTATACGTCCTCAGTGGCTTTTTCCAATCAACAGTTTCCCAGGGAAACAGTCTCCCAGCCACTCCCAAGTACCTTCAATCAGGTTGTCAATGTTAGCTGTTGGGGCTTGGTTTATAGTGTCACCCAGCAACCGTTGCTGTGGCAAGATGAGATGCTTCTACCCTTTGTGACAGTTGGTTCGGATGTTTCTCATTCCTCCTCCCCATTCCCTACTATACCCTAGAATGGAAGTTCAGGGTGCACCCTTGCTTTTTCCTGTATATCCAGCACCTGTAAGAGTGCTTGGCACATAGTAGAGGCTCAATAAATATTCACTGCATGGGAGTGAATGTGTGGCGTAAAGCTGGAAAATACTTTTCTATTTCAGAGTTTACCTGAAAAACAAAACCTGTTTCAGCTAGATGTGAAGGTGCTGGGTAGTGAACACACAGGCCTTCTGCCATGCCTGGCCCTCGTTTTGCAGCTTTGAGGCCTTTTGCCTACGATGGAAAGGGCGCTGGGCCCTCTGGAAGGATGGAGGCTGTCTGATGAGTCTAATTAGGAAGTTGCTGATTAACCAAGCAGCCCCCAAGGAGGCCCCGTGTCCAGGGACCTGAGTTGTCCGTGGGGAGCCACCTCTCCCTGCACCGAGCTATCAGCAGCCATGGTCTGGTGGCATGGAGCAGCAAAGGGGGTGAGGTGGAGAGAAGATTCCCTCGTGGCCTGCAGATGAAGGCAGCAAGTCAGACAGTCTAACAGGTGACTCCTCGAAGGTCTGGGGAAACTGTCGTCCTAGATCGGTAGTTCCCACGCTAGATGAGTAGTTCATTCCCAAGTCAGATTCACCTGGAAGTTTAAGAAGTGTGCAGATTTCGGGACCTTACTCAAACCCACAGAATCAGAGTGTCTGAAGGTGGACCCAAGCAGGTGTATTTTATCAAGTGCCAGGCGACAGATGTAGGTGGCCGTGGACCACATTCCTGGAGCGCTGTCCTCTCTCCCTGCAGCACTGTCCCAGTGAAGAACTCGGGTACCTCCCCCAGAGGCGCACGTCCCTCACTGGACGGTGAGGCTTTGTGCAGGTCACTTGGCCTCTCGGGGCCTCCGTCTTTTGTCCCCCAGATAGGGTAATGATAGACCCTACCCCATAGACTTGTTTTAAGGATTAAAGTTAATGCTCAGAAGTTAATCGAGCATTTAGTTTAAAAGCACATCAGACATTCTGGCCAATGCCAGACACATTTAAAGCCCTAATCTTGTCATCTAATGGGGGGAGGACAATAGGGGAGGAGCCACATTTTATTATAATGGACCCATTTTCTTTCTCACTCCCTGAAAGTTGTCAGAACTGTGGACAGAAGGAAATGATAGCAGCAGTCGGTGCTAAAAGTGACCCAACCACTTATCCACTTGGCTCAGGAGTCAGCCCATTTTGTCTGTCTGTCTGCTCACCGTCATTGTCAGGCACAGAAGCCACAGGGCAGCCCAGCACCCCGGGACCTGGGGGTTCAGATGTAAGAATGACGCTTCAACGTCTATCACACAGTATGTGTGGCGAGTGCCACGTGACGACCTGAAACAAAGCACTGCAGGATGCCAAGCAGGATAGGGACCAGAAAGCCTTCCTTCTCAGAGTTCCTGGCATTAGAGCTTGGAGTTACAGGCCGGGCAGAGGCTTCCCAGTTATAGAGATGATAGTAGAGGGTAGGAAGGAACTAGTTTAAGGTTAAGAGTATGGGCTGGAGTCAGACGGCTAAGGTTTGAAGCTCAGCTCTGCAACTGCTGGGTGCTGTTGGGCAAGTTGTTTAACCTCTTCGAGCCTCCGTTTCCACCTCTGTAAAACGGCGATCCTCAAAGTACGTATGTCACAGAAGTTGGGAGAATTTAAAGAGACAAACCAAATGATATGTACAGGGCCTGGCACATCAACGTCATTCATTCAAAAAAATATATAAGACATTGTACCAGGGACTCCATCCTTCTTGGCAGGGCATTGTGGGCAGCCCAAGCGAGGAGGCTGCTTTTGGAATTATCCCTTACAAGCCCACTAGGCAGCATTTAGGACTAGAGGGACACTCCTACTCAGAGGTGTGGCATTTCCCCTGCAGCCACCCGCCTACCAACCTGCCCAGCTGTTACTCTCCCAGGTCTATTGGCCAAGGCTGTCTCATTAACCGGCTTTCACCTGAACACACGTGCTTCCAGACTTGGATATGCCCATGTGACCTCAGGCATGTGAATCTGAGATGGTGGGTATGTCCCCTGAGCAGCCCCACCCTGCAGAACAGGCAGTGACAGGGAGGGCTAAGGAGGACGGCAGCCCCTTTGGAGCCTTTTATGATGTGGCTCATCTTTTAGCTCAACTAAGCTGGTTCTGCACAGATAGGGCTTTGACCATGTATCCACCAGTGGAATAACCTTCAACAAGTTACTCAAATTGTCTGCAATTCAATATCCTCATTTCTGAAGTGAGAATGATAATAATACCAATCTAAAGAGTCGCTGTAAAGATGAATGTGACCGTTTATAAAAACAAATGCATAGCACAGTGCCTGGCGCACAGGGAGCCCTCCCTGAAGCCCAGCGATCCTGATTCCTGCTGTTCCTGTAGGGGGTGGGTGGGGAAGAAAGGGTTCTGCTCACTCAGCGCCCGTTGCCCTGGTCTCCATCACCAAGAGGTGGACCTAAGCTACTGCACAGGAGCAAGCAGGCAATTGCGTTTAATCATAAAGCAATTAAACAGCTATCCTTTAATTAGTTAGTGAGAATTATTCTAAGGAGACCATTTTAAGCCCTGGAGATCTTGGCGTTAAACTTGCCCAAACTGTGAATTATGCTAATTGTTTTTTTTAATTATTTCCCCTCTTACATTCGAGAATCCTAGGGGCGTCGGCCTGGGGAGGTCAGCTAATGAGATGTGAGGCCATTACAGTCTCCAGACATGTCAGCACCACTGCGCGGCTCGAGCAGGATGACACAGGGCCACACCAAGCACATGGGAGTTAGCAAGGACCATGACTGTGGCCAAGACATTCTGAATTTGATATCTTCCCTGGGGACAGAGGTCACAGGCTGGAACAAAGCGTGTCGGGCTGAAACATACAGTGCCCCATTGCATCCCGGGCTAGCTGTGCACCAGTTTGTCCCCTAGTCACCATTACAAATGCCTGCCCCTCTCACGCCCCAAAACTGGGTATCACTGAAGCTGAGCAAGTGATAGGGGACAGTGGGCCTTCTGCCCTCCGGCTGTGCTTGAAGGGCAGATGGAATTAGGTCTAAAGCCAGGATGCCGTGCGCATCCCAGGGCAGCCTGCGCCTGAGCACTACTCCTCCAGCCAGCAGGGAGGTTGGAGCCCGCCAGCCCACCATCCTGTGCCTGGGAGTCCCACGTAAATGGCAGCCCACCTTCTTTCCCACGGACTCAGCCTCTGTGGGGCTTTTGCTCTCTGAAGCGAACACTTCCAAAGCTAAACCCCCCTGCGGGCCTGTTTCCTCACCCATGCAGTGAAGGGGTGGCATGGGCCCGCTCTTCAGGGGTGGGCCTCGGGCCAGCAGCAGCACCCAGGAGCTCTGAGCAATCCGACCTCAGCCTACACTCCCTCAGCAGCAGGTTGTTGAAGTTCGCACCTTCAATACTTTTACTCTTTCAAAACGAGACGACAGGGAAGATGTGCCTCAGTCTCTTTGGGCTGCCATAACAAAGTACCAACGGCTGCGGGCTTCCAAACAATCGAAATTTATTTCTCACAGCTCTGGAAGCTGCAAGTCCCAAATCGGGGTGCCAGCATGGGGGGTCCTGGCGCGAGTCCTCTTCCAGGCTGCAGACTGCTGACTTCTCGCTGTCTTCACATGGCAGAAGTGCCCAGGGAGCTCCCTCGGGCTTCTTCTTATTTTTTTTCATTTAAAAATTGTAAATTACAGTCGATAGTCAACATTATATTTGTTTTCCAGGTGTACAGCATAGTGGTTGAACACTCACATAACTTACAAAGTGATCCCTCCCCCCATAAGTCTAGTACCCACCTGGCAACATACGTAGTTATTACAATATTATTACATCTGTAACTGCCCATTTTTACTGTGTAATCCCTTCACTTTTTTCTTAAGGGCACTAATCCCACTTAGAAGGGCTTCCTCCCTATAACCTAGTCAGCACCCAAAGGCCCCACCTTCTATTAGCATCACCTTGGGGTTAGGTTTTAACACAGGAGGTTGGGGGATGGACATATTCAGACCAAAGCAACGTGCTTCTCACATCCCTCTTCTACTCCAGCAGTCCAGGCCTTGCACGTCCCCTCATCAAGTTTATGTACACGATGGATGACTTTCTGCCTTATTTCTCAGGGGGCCATCCAGGTGCCCCATTTCTTCAGTGCCCGGAAGGACGGACAGACCTCTGAAAAGGGGCCTCTGTCTGCCCCAAATGGTCCCAGTGCAGCAGAGGCAGCAGATTTCCACTCGAGCCCTCTGTTCCTCCCGAGTCACAGCTCCCTGGCGCCTGCAGTAAACTGCGGCTCCGCTGCCTTGTGTTCCTGCAGGTCACCAAGGCGTCGCGGAGAAGGCTGACGGTGAGCCTGGCTTACTCGGAGAGCCACCAGATCCGCGTGTCCCAGCAGGACTTCCGGCTCTTCCGCACCCTCTTTCTGCTCATGGTCTCCTTCTTCATCATGTGGAGCCCCATCATCATCACCATCCTGCTCATCCTGATCCAGAACTTCAACCAGGACCTGGTCATCTGGCCGTCCCTCTTCTTCTGGGTGGTGGCCTTCACGTTCGCCAACTCGGCCCTGAACCCCATTCTCTACAACATGTCACTGTTCAGGAACGAATGGAGGAAAATTTTCCGCGGCATCTTCTTCTCAGAGAAGGGAGCCATGTTTACAGACACGTCTCTCAGAAGAAATGACTTGTCTATTATTTCCACATAGTTTTCTCCAGAGGCAGATTTTGTCACTCTCTGGCCAGCCACGGTGTGTTTCCAAAGGGAGTTGTTTTCCAGGACTGTCACACCAGTGTACCCTGCTTTAAGAAAACGTAACCTATGCAAATACATCCACGGCACCAGTAAATTAAGGGGCGATTCAGTGTAAGAATTTCATCCTTTATACAAGGATTTGTTGTGGGTTCCTTTACATATGAACTTTTTCAGTGTGTTTGTAATATGACTAAATGTAATAAATTTTTATTTATAACTGTTCAGCAACCACATCTCCTACATACAAAGCCACACCTTGCTGGTTCTGAAGTGACTCTTGGACTCAGGTGACCACTCTGGGTCCCGACCTTGGACTTGCAAGGCCTCAGGATCATTCATTAATGTCAATAACGCTTCAGGAATTTCCCAGGAACAGTTAAAGGTGATTTTTTTTTTTTTTTCATTTATAAGAAATGCCATGGATTTCTCCCCCCCCTCCCCCCCCCCTTTAGGAGAAGCAGTGTCGTGAAATCAGAGGATATAGGATGACTCCAGTATTTGGGGGGTTGTGAGAAATGACCTTAGGACATACTTTGGGAAGGTGGAGCAAACACGATTTATCGACGGGCGGGATGGAGAATGTGAGGAAAAGAGAGGATTTGAGGGTGGCTTCTAGATTTGTAGCCTGATACTGTTTGGACGATGGGGCAGGCAGCAAAAGTAGGGGAAGACTGTGGGTGGGAGAGCCACGAGGTTTTTTGAGGCTGTGTAAGTTTGAAATCTCAGTGGGATCCCAGTGGAGAGTAGGCAGTTGGATGCAGGGATGTGGAGTGGGGGCCTGAAGATGCAATGCTGAGAGTCATCAGATAGTGTTTACAGGCCTATGGTTTAAAAAAAATATCCAGGGGAGACAAGAAACCACAGCCAAACAGAGCCAAGGGACACGCCATCACATGGAAGTTGGGCCAATGGCTGGAATGCACAGTAACTCGGGGCCTGGCACATAGTAGATGCTCATCATGTCTTTGCTGTCGAGTAAACCAGCACCAGTAGCTCCATTGCTCGTGCAGTTTCTTGAATAGCTTCTTCTGAAGTAAGATTTACGGTGTTCACAAGCTCGAGGACAAGAGTACAGGGATTTTTTGGTTCATCTTTAGTTAATAGATTTGACGAATTAAAACTATTTTGAAGTGATGTGTGGCTATCTTATGGGTCTCTGGGGTTGTCAAACTGAAGCTGAAGAGCCTGGCTCTGTGTGATGACAGGTAGGGTTTTCCCACTCATGGTCACCTGTCTCCTCCTCCTTCCTTGGTGGGAGAACAAGCATACTGGGGTGGGGGACCCAGGAGCCTCCCATGGGCCCTTGATATGGCAGCACACAGGGGAAAGAGGTGTCCTTCCCCACCTCCTGACACATTTCATAGCCGCCAACTAGGCATTGTCGGTGCTGGCACAGCTCCTAAGTGCTCTAATTGTATCCCGTCAGGCAGATACTGCTTCCCCACATTTCACAAGAAAAAAGTGAGGCTCAGGAAAGCCATGTGACCAGCTCAAATCACACAGCTACTATGTATCTGAACCAGATTTTGACTTAAATTAAAGACCCTGGTACAAAGCCTGATTCTTTTTCAAGTAGAGAAGCTGAGGCTCCTGGGAGCTCCAAGAAATGGAGGCAAAGGGCTCTGTGTGCAGTTACACACTGATGTTTACAAGCACCGCTGAACGCCGGACACTGGTGTGCACTGCCCCCACCATGCCCTTCCTACACACTCCAGGTCCAGATAGGGGGCGCTGTGATCTTCCTCCGGACCTGGCGTCGGAGGGCCCCATGTTCCAGTTCCCTCCGGGAAGGTCAAGGCCTCCTCTCCTTCAACATTTTGGCCACATCTGAAATAAGAAGTGAATTAAGTTCTAGGAACAGTGAAGGGCTGGGGGCGTTTACTAGAGCGGATCCAGACCCATGCCTCTCACACCCAACTGGGTAAGCTGGCCATCCTGTCCCCTTCCCTGGCCCAGGGCTGACTGGGACTTTGGGCTCACCTGGTGCTTTAGCCTTGGCGCCTTGTCCAGGCTGGCAATTAGGGCCTTCCTGGGTTAATGGGGAACACCCTTTTTCAGGAAGTTGGGAGAAGCCACAGTCACTAATGGACATTACGCACTAGAACAGGCCAAAGGTCATAAAAAACCAGGGAGGGAAGCATGCCACCTGGGTTATAAAAGTGCATCCCACCCAACCACGTGCAAGACTTCTCACTTTGACACACACACGAACACAAATGAAAAACCAAATCATAGGAAACAGGAGACTATATTTTAATAAATCAAAGTCCGGAATCCTAAGGCTCAAATGATTCCTTAGACAACCCCAGTAAGAACATACATCTGAGTGATTCCCTTATTCCCACATATATTTTTATGTGTACTGAAGGTTTTATGTTTCCTGGGGGAAAGGGGAGGAGAGAGGGCCAGAATAAACTAAGATAAATAGAGCTGAAGGCTGAGTGGGAGTTAGTGGGAAGTTTTCAAATGAAACTTGACATCCTCGATGTTGCTACAAAAGGTTTCTTTCTGATTTGCCATCACAGTAACCTGAAATACAGAAAACAAAGTCATTAGTGACAGAAAGATGGACACAGTGTTTCCTGTAGACTAGGAACATGATGATGGCCTCAGGCTCAGATTCATTCAAGTGCTTCTTGTAAGGTTACAGCTGGATGTGGCTGTAATTCATAAACATCCTCAAGGTTTTTACTGCAGCCATTTGAATTTCTCTGGGGATAATGGGATCTGCGGTATGAAATACCGTTCATTTTATTTGTCTTAAATTTGCCGCACTGCATTTCAAAGGGTGGGGGCGTGCATTCTCCTATTTCAGAAAGTGGGCCTGATCACAGCCAACCCATTTGTGGTTTTATACAATGCTCACCCTGTCCTGTGCCATCTGTCACCAGGCAGTGCCATAAGGGGCTTCAATGCCACAAACAAACCCTCAGGTTGCATCCAACTCAGCTACTCACTACAGATGCTGGGCAACTTTTAGCCTCTGTTTTCTCATCGAACAGATGAGAATGTGGATAATAAGAGAATCTATTTCATAAGGTGCCTCTGCGGATTAACGAGATGTAGGCAAAGGGTTGGCCTGGAGCTTGGCCATGGTGAAATCCTCTCCTAGCCCTTCATTTAGACCCCCGGGCTGGAACATCACAATCTTACTGATTTATGTTCTTGGTCTGGGTTCCTATCTGTCTGGTATAGTTTTGCTCAGCTAGTTAGAAGACCAACCGAAAAGTTTAGTTTTGTTCTCTTTTTCCTACATTTTAGTATTGCCATATTTGGATTTTGAAACCCTTTTTCCCATGGGAGTGAGTGTCAATTCAAGTAGACAGTACACTTTCCTCCAGAATGTTCCTGGGTTTTATTTATGTTTGAATATAATTTTTATTGATTTTTTTTTTTTTAGAGAGAGGAAGGAAAAGGGAGAGAAACGTCAATGGGCTTCCCTTGCACATCCCTTACCGGGGACGAGCCTGCAACCCAGGCACATGCCCTGACCAGGAATTGAACCAGCATCCTTTTGGTGCACGGAAGGACGCCCAACCAACTGAGCCACACCGGCCAGCGCTGTTCCTGATTTTTAAATCAACATCAGATGATGCCCTGGCCGGTTTGGCTCAGCGGTTAGAGCGTCGGCCTGCGGTCCTGAGAGACCCGGGTTCGGTTCCCGCTAAGGGCATGTACCTTGGTTGCAGTTTGTCCCCGGCCCTGGTCGGTTGTGCGGGTGGCAGCCACTCGATGTGTCCCTTTCACGTCGATGTTTCTCTCTCTCTCTGTTCCTCTCTCTCCCTCCCACTCTACCTGAACAAAAAATGGAAAAATGTCCTCGGATGAGGATAAAAAAAAAAAATCAACATCAGATGAGGATAGTCTCCATATAAACACCCAGTGGTTATTTCAGGGAATCTCAAAAAACGTGAGGAAGATCAGCTAGTCAATTTGGTTTCATGTTAGAGAAAGAGCATTTGTTGAAATCATTTTGAACTTGCTGTGGTGATGTCTCTAACTATTTACACCAATGGCCACATTGGCAGCGCAACTCTTCACTGGGACCACTGAACCCCCAAATAATATTAATTCAGTCAAAATAGTTTTTGGGGGCAGAGTAGCCAGAGACAAAATCATGTGACTACAGACTGGGCTACGTTAGCAGAAAAAAATAAGAGTGTCCCCTGCAGTTTTATTTAATGAAAAGTGCCAGGGTTTGGGGGAAAAGCCTTTGCCCACTCCTTCTGCATCAGCCCCATGATAAGGCCTCTGAGAGATCTGGGCAAGGAGAACCAAGACTGGGGCTCAACAGAGGCGGCCAAGGCTCCCTGTTTTCCCGCGCATGCAGATGAAACGCATCTCACTGGCAGGTGGGCAAACTACTGCCCACTGGCCCCTCGGGGGAGCTGGCTGCCGCCGCTCCTGCCCGCCCGCGTCCATCCACTCACCATTGTGCGTGATCAGCCTGTACTGCCTGGCCAGGCACAGCTCCTCCTGCCTCCGCCTCACGATCCTCTGCACTTCCGGAGGCAGGCCGTGGGGGTTGCGGGCGAACACGAAGGAGTAGCTGTCGGCACAGGTGCCGTCGAGGTTCTGCAGGCGGCAGGAGTACTGCACGGCGTAGGTGTCGTAGTCCGTGTCGATGATCCAGTGGTCATCGTCTGCAAGCCAGAAACCCAGAGCCAATGCCTCCCCCAGCTGACCCGCCATCAGGGAAACGCACCCAAACTGAGAAGCCAGTAATTTCCTGAAACTGGTTTCATTTTGTTGGGAGCAGGAGACCACAGAGAATTCAGACGGCTTTTATAAAACTGGGAACATGAGAAAGGAGTTTGTTCTGCTTCACAGAAAAAGAAATTCCAGAGTTTGGAGAACCTCATTCACTTCAATGAGTTTCTCTCACCCTGATAAGTGTGACAGCATCTTTTTAAAGAACCATTGAGATTGTGGGCCCATCAAAACCATGGAACAGGTCTTTCTATCTGTCCCCCAACAATATCTATGCCTTTGCAGCTGACATCTGATGGTCACCAACTGCTGCTATCCCCAACGTCAGCATGTATCTCTTGAGATGGTCTATATCAGCTCGTTCCCTGTCATCTCAGTAACCATGCTGTCCTCCTGCTTCTCCATCCACTGGAGGACGCCATTCTGATGGTCTGGTTCACAGCCTTTCTGGTTCCATCCTGATTCCTGTTTAGTAACCTGCCCACTTCTAGCAGGCAAAAGAGTAGTTTTTGCTTTGGGGGTACAAGATGCCTATGATCTGTCATCAGATATTCTTTTTTTTTTTTTATCCTCACCCGAGGACACTTTTTCATTCTTTGTTCAGATAGAGCAGGAGGGAGAGAGAGAGAGAGAAACATCGATGTGAAAGGGACACATCGAGTGGCTGCCACCCACACGACCAACCAGGGCCAGGGACAAACTGCAACCAAGGTACCTGTCCTTAGCGGGAACCGAACCCAGGTCTCTCCGGACCGCAGGCCGACGCTCTAACCGCTGAGCCAAACCGGCCAGGGCCAGATATTCTTTTTTTAAGAGTTTGAACTTGTCAGAACTCCCCTGATAGAGGCAGAGCTGAGCCCATGAAAAATTTAGATTATATTTATTCCTAAGACTGGGATGTAAGCCACGAAGAATAAGTACAAAGAAGGTGGGGAAAATGCCAACAAAGGCAGGACGGCAGATAAGAATGTATGTGAAGGATCTGCCATGGAGAAACAACAGGGCTCAGTTTTATTAAATACTGTGCATTTGGTAAAAAGGGCCACATCTCTACTTAATTTAACATTCTCATTGACATATACCCATGAATAGGGCTTTCTGAGCACTTAATCATGTCAATCATTGTGTAGACACTTTCTTTTTTTAGTTTCTTCTCACATGAACCCAAAAGTGCACACTATCATCCCCATTTTACAGATGAGGAAAGTGAGGCACAGAGAAACTAAATCATTCGCCCAGGATCCCAAGAGCAGGGCAGAACTGGGATTCAATCTGACTCTGGAGCCCACATGCGTAGATTATACCACATTGTTTCCAGGCAATAAGTAAACTGGAGGCAGAGGGAACAAGAAACAAAAAGGCTCTGTGCCTCCATCTCACACCCACGTCATGAAGCAAGTGATCGTCTCCGCCCCATGTCATGCTCCACCCTGGAAGACGGCAGAGGCAGTGAATTCCCGGGCATCAGAGGGTGGAAGGGAGAGTGCTAAAGCCCTAAAGCACCTCTGGCTGTGCCTCTTGGCTCTGAGAATCCCTGGAGTGCCAGCCTAGTAGGGATTCAGCCCAAATCCAGGCCCCGCAGGAGAGCTGCACAGGAGGGGGTGGTGGGGGCCCCTCTGCAGCTCACTCCAGGTACCCCAGGAAGAATGAGCTACCCCACGCCTCGGAGCTTCCCCACAGAGAGAGTGCAGGAGGCCAGATGCAGGTGCCCAGACACATGGCTGCTCAGTGGTGGCCGGGCAGTTATTCCTCAAATGGGCCAGGAGCAGAAGCCAAGGGGCTGCCTGCTGGGCCCCACCCTAACCACCAGATCCCCGCGTAGGCTCCTGGGCAGAGTCTTCCTTTTCTCCGAATGAAATCATTTCTTCCCTGGTTCTGGGGCTCACTGTGTCTGTCAGTCACAGGCACCCAGCAGCATACCCCTCAGACACAAAAGCACTCTGCTTTGAAATGTGACCCAGTTTCATGATCCAGGCCGCTATTAGCTCAGAAAATCTGCAGCTTGGTTATTTTCCCCCCAGAGTTGTTGCCAGAATGTAATTTCTAGCATAGGAACTAAGTAACCTTCAAAGCTCGGTTTTAGGAAAACTGACTACTCTTTCCTGACTTTTGAAAAAGGCCTAAGCTCATTTGGTGTTATCTCCAGGCTCTCTTCAGCTAAATAGTGCAGAGAGGAAGAATTTAAACTGTAACAATAGCAATCTTTACGTGACTCTCCCTCCTAAGACGAGATGAATTGTCTGAGCCCTGCTAGAAAGAATGAACTCGGCCTCTAACCTCCTACCTGCCAGCAGCTGGGGCTGGGGCAGGTCCCTCTGGAGAGCCAAACACCCCAAACATTTCTGGCTGGCAGCTATCTACATGTAGCAGAGCTGGGGAGAGTGGAGACAGCGGCCACAGGGCTGCCACCATCCCAGGAAGTGGGGTTACGCTGCCGCTGTGTCTATACTGCACCCACACAGACTGGTTTAGAGGTTTTGATTACCAGTCCAAAAATTACAACAACAAAACACTCAGTAAGAGGAAGCGAACTCTGGCTCACTGTGGTGGACCTGGACTGTGTCCCTTCAGCTGCCTACAACTGTGTCTTCCAATCACCTAAAGTGATGACAAGCTTCCTATGGTTCTCAGGTCCAACTGTCCAGGTGAGCCCGCTGGATGGTGGTGTGAAACTAGTTCTGACCAATCACTGGAAAAACCCAGCAGGGCCCGTCAAAGTGGAGTCTGAGGTCTTGGAACCTGAGTGATTAGCTGTGTGCCCCTAAGCTGTTCACTTCTTTAACATGGGCCTTCTCTAATTTCTTCATTGGAAAATGAGAGGCTTGAACCTCATGTTCTTTGAGGATCCTATCATTCCAGACCCAGACTATCTAGCTTGATTTCATGGGGAGAGAACTAAGCAGTAATAATATCATACACTTACAGAGAACTCATGTCTCAGGCACTGTTCTGCATGCTTTCTGCATATTAACGCATTGCCTCCTCCTAACACAACTCCATGAGGTAGGTGCTGTGATCACCTCCTTTTACAGGGGAGGAAACCAGGCCACAGAGAAGCTAAGGAACATATCTAAGGTCCCACAGGTAGCGGGTCAAGTTATGAATTGAATTCTGGCAGTCTAACTTTAAACCTGCATGTTAAACTGAATGTTTAACTGCACAGCTTCTCTTCTGAAATGTAACCTAAGAAGGAATTTCTCCTTCCACCTTCCACATCATAGTTATCTCAATAGCAATCACTTTCAAGATTTCAATGCTTTTCTTTTTCTCCAATGAAATCCTGGATAGAACCTCAGTCTACAAGAGGTAAAAGCAGAACTAATCTGGTTTGGTAGGGGGAGGAGGAGGCAAGAGGCAAGAGGCAAGAGGCAAAACCCTACCTGCTGGTGGGGTCTTCTCCATCCTCCCCAAATGCAGTACCAACAGAATCCTAGTCCTTCAAGGATTGCATCTCAAACTGCCACAGAGCATTATGTGTTTATGCTTTCTAAAAATTAGTAATATTGTGCCCCAGTATTGACTTTTTAATCCATTATCAGAAAAGTATGTATTTTATGCTAATTGATTCACTTTAAGAAGTTTTGCCTCATTGTTTGTAATAATTTTTATTACTTCTAAGGATAAAGGCTTTTTTACGCCTTATAAAATAACAACATCTGTACAGTATAAATCAGTGCTAAAGCTGCCATTTGATTTTAAAAAATGCGATTTCAGCCCTGGCCAGTTTGGCTCAGCGGTTAGAGCGTCGGCCTGCAGTCTGGAGAGACCTGGGTTCGGTTTCCCGCTAAGGGCACGCACTTCGGTTGCAGTTTGTCCCCGGCCCTGGTTGGTTGTGCGGGTGGCAGCCACTCGATGTGTCCCTTCACGTCGATGTTTCTCTCTCTCTCTCCCTTCCTCTCTCTCCCTCCCACTCTATCTGTACAAAAAATGGAAAAATATCCTCGGGTGAGGATAAAAAAAAAAAAAAATGCGATTTCATTTAATATGCAACTTTAGAGGAAGTCAAGGTGTGTGTGTCACATGTAGAGTGATGGGCCACATAAAGAACCCTTCTGCCCTGGACCACCAGCTAAGAGAGTCCCTCTGTACAGCCCCGTGGCCTAGCCCACATGAGAGCTTGATACTTTGGATACTTTATGAAAATTGGTCTGTAAATGAGGAGTCCTTGCTGTTCAGGGACTAATCCTGGCCTAGCAGTTGGAACCCCTGGCTCTGACACTCTCACAGACTTGTGTGACTGTGGGCAAAGCACAATGTTCTCTTGGCCTCTATTTATTCCTCTGTTTATTGAACCCTTTGTAGGGTTAACTCTCTATTGCTAGGATCCCATGATCCCCTCTGGTTTGCATAATTCCTTAAGTATCAAGTAGACCCCAGATTTGAGATTTAGGAGAAATGAGGGGAAAGGGAAAAAGAGCAGAGATCTGTTCTCATGATCAGGCCAAGTTTTTCGGATGCCCTTCTGAGAGTCCTCAATACTCTCCCTCCCCCCCAATCTGAGTTTCAGTGCTGGGAGAAAGGGCAGAGGTCACTGCCACCAAGAGCACTGTGCCTGGTTCAGCATCCCAGCATCAGCAGGCAGGGCACCAGGTGGGCAGTGGGCCAACCCTATGCTCTGTGCTCCCTAAATCCTTGGAGGAGGGTCTCCCAGCCTCTGCTGGGGTCCCAAGTGGTCAAGGTGTCTCTGAGATTCAGCCCAAAGAGATAAAAGAAATGCAAGGCCAGGCTGAGTGGTGATGTGGGCTGGTCTTGTGGAGGTGGGAGGCGTAAGGTTGGAGAAGGCTACACACCCTGACACAGTGGCTGGGCAGGAAAGTGGCAGGAGGAGGATACCTGACAAGCCCAAAGGTCCTTTGAGCTTGGGCCAGGTTTTTTGAGCTGGGGGGTGGGGGAGGCAGAAAGAGAGTTTAGCTACATCTAATCTCATGTCCCTAACCTCTCTGGGTGGTGCAGAGGGTTCCTGCGACTTACAGCCCATTTTTTCCCAAGGGCACCGATGGAGAAGAAACCCAGCGATTTGGCCAGGTTATGGTCCTCCTACCCCACAAGCCAGTTCTAATGAGCGGATTACTCACTTCCTTTCTGGAGGAAGGACGCTACACCCCAGTACTTCATCTTGAACTTGGCAGGGTCCTCGGTGTCTGTGAAAGTGCCCACCATGTCTGCGCACACGTCCCAGTTGCTGCAAAAGCCAAGGGGATCCTGAGCCAGGCCGGGCAAAAGGCTTCCTCCCTCCATCCCACCACCGTGGGTGCGCCCTTCCCTCCCTGGTCTAGGTTTGGCACCCAGCCTGGGGGACCCTGGAATACAGAGAGCTCTGCTGCCCAGAGGCCACTGACTTTAAAAGACGGACTCGGCCCTTGGCTGTGGCGCTCATCTGGCCGGTCTCGTCCACCGAGAACTCTGCGATGATGTTGTCTTGCAGAAAGAGGCCCTCGGGGTCCTTCTTGGCCATGGCGTACCACGTCCCGGCGAACTGCGAGAGAGATGGGAGCAGGTTTGGTGCCGGCAGTGCACAGCTGGCCGCGCAGCTGGGGGAACGCGGGGACCCGGGCCACCGGTCCGACACCTACTCGAGCCTTGTCGAAGTTCTCCTTGACTCGGAAGCTGCTCACCCGGCAGTCGCGCTCCGCCCGAGCGCTGCCCAGCGCAGCCAGCAGCACGAGCGCCCACAGCCACTCCATCCTGCCCAGGAGTCCGCCCTGCGGGAAACGCGCGGCGTTAGCGCGGGGCCGCGGAGCCACCCGCCCGCCACGGCCCGCCCGCGCCGCCCCTTCGCGCGGGTCCCCGCCCGGGCGCCGCTCACCACCGGGAGCCGCGCGCAGACCCGACCCGGGCGTCCGGGCGCGCAGGGAGCGAGGGAGGTGAGCGCGCCGCGGGGGCCACCCGGCCGCTTTATAGCTCCGGGGGGAGGGGGTCGCGCTGTCGCAACCGCGCCGAGTGAAAGGCACGGGGAGGGGGGCGGGGGGGACGCGGGCCGGCGGGCCAGCACTTGCACAACGCGCCCTGACTCACAGGCGCCCGCACGCAGGGAGGGTCCCTTTGGCCAGAGCCTCACCTCCAGTGCGGCCCGGGGTTTGGTGGAGCCGCCGCGCAGGGTGGCCTCGACGGAGCCCAAACTCTCCAGTGGCGATGAGCCGCGGGAACAAGCTCTGGCCTAGTTACCCAGCCCTTGTGCCAGAGGCCTCCGGCTGCGGCCTAGGGTGGCCTCGGAGCCCAGTTGGTCTGGCTGGGGGCCCAGGTCTGCCTGGCGGGAAAACCGTGGCCTCCCAGAGCGAGAGGACCTGAGATGATGCTGCCTGGTGCGTCAGTGCCCCGGCCCTGGCCATGCCAAAGCGGCCCCTCCGCCCTCTGAGGGCCAATTGTGAAGGGGTTGGGGAAAATTTCGGCCAAGTAGTTTTTCATTTTATAAAGGATGTATTTTACTCCCTTTCAGGAGAGTTGTGTTGCCCTCTGGGTCAATATTTGTTCTTTAGTTTCAACATCTTTAGAAGCACTAAAACCCTCCCTGTTAAATATTCTCCAGAAACGCAACCCTGGTCAGGACAGGAAATACTTTAGCAACCTCGGTGGTCACCTACTTTGTGGCGCTTCACTCAAACCACTTTGAAAACACACCTACCAATTGTTTATGCTACGATTTTATTTCAAAACCATAGTAAATCTTTGTTTTGTTTTCAAAACAGCTAAGGCTGAGTAGTGGATGAGAGGGGGGAGGTAAACAAAAGTCTGTGACAAATGTCTAATGGGCAGGTAAGTCACAATGCTGTGACTGGTTATGCTATGTGACTGGTTTTGCCTGCGTAATGGCACGATTTACCCACCGTATTTTTTTCTTTCCCTTCAGAGTTAAAGAGTTCCTCTAATCCGATCAAAGTATCCAGGAGATGCCACTTTTGACTGAACGATAACTAGTGATATGACAAAGAATTTGGAACATTTCTTCCATATTATGCCAGTTGTGTCTCCATGGCCCAGATTGGAAAGAGCCGAGAGGAATTTGGACCATTTTGTTGACACAAACTAAAAGAGGGTGGGGGGTGAGAAAGGTGGCTGCCAAACAGAAATACGGAGTTGATGGTCTTCCAACCAGCCCTTTACAGTCAAAGCACTGGAGTTACTTTTGAGCCCCCTGAAAAGGCACCTGAGTTTTTCATCGCCCTCCTGTTGAAGGGGACTAGAGTTTTGCCACTCTGAAGCTACTTTGGGGGATACTGATCTTTAGCTAGTTATTAAGAAACAAAAGACTCAGAAAGAACCTTTGATTCTCCTCCTTTCATGAGACTGAGATAGAAAAACCTGCTTCTGGAAGGGAATCTTAGGATGTCCCCTTAGCCTAATTTGAATTAAGCATGGTAGATACTCCCTGCATCCCATGGTTTCTGAGTTGCCTGTTGGGACTTCATGCCCCGTGTGTTCCCTTTTCCTCAACTACCTAGAAATCACCCATTCTAACTTTGAAATCTAAGACCCCTATCCCTCACCCCCTTTCTTATTTGTCCAAAATGTCATATATGCCCAATGTTGCCTCCCTGTCTTTGGAATTTTCATGCTTATTTGAATCCTTGTGAGCATGTATTAAAAATGTGATGTTCTCTTGTTAATCTGTCTCTGTCAATTTTTTTTTTTTTTTTATCCTCACCCAAGGACATTTTTCCATTTTTTGTTCAGATAGAGTGGGAGGGAGAGAGAGGAAGAGAGAGAGAGAGAAACATCAATGTGAAGGGACACATCGAGTGGCTGCCACCCGCACGACCAACCAGGGCCGGGGACAAACTGCAACCGAGGTACGTGCCCTTAGCGGGAACTAAACCCGGGTCTCTCTGGACCGCAGGCCGACGCTCCAACCACTGAGCCAAACCGGCCAGGGCTGTCTCTGTCAATTTGATTATTAGTTCAACTGAAGAACTTCAAAAGTGGGAGGAAAAGCATGATTATTTTTTTAGCCCCCACACTGTGACTCTTTGGGCATCTACCTGCCTGCTCTGCTTCCATTTGACACCCTCCCCTCCACTCCTGCTCCCATTTGAGTCTCTGGTGTCTCTGGAGAGCCCATGATGATGCATTTAACTTCTTACTGCCCCAGAGCTAGGAAAGCCAACTGGCTAATAGAAGATCTGGTTAGGCCAGTTTTATCACTAGAGGTATAATCTCAACCAGCTCAGGTTATCTCTGCTCCAGAGCCACTCCTGCAGGGACCACATGTGTGGCCATAGATGTGGTAGTGTCTATGCACCGTAGGTGGGAAAGGACTTCAGGGCATCTCTCAATCTCCTATCCAAGGCTTGAATCCCCTCTGACATTCCAGAGTAGAGACCATCCAGATTCTCCCCCAACACCTCCAGTGATGGAGAGCTCCCAGCTGAGCCCAACTGCCTTTGGACGGTTATTATGTTAGAAAAGTTCACCTTAGACCCTCAACTCTTTCAACCATTTCTCCTAGATATAGTCTGGTGGTCCTTGCACACACCACATATTGAATAAGTGTAGTGGTTTTCAATGCATTTATATAGTGCTTGTTTTTACAACAACATGTTTTTATTTATTTGTTAGATACTTAAAGGTCAGTGTAAATGTTCCCCCTACTACTCTGCCTCTTTCTTTTAATGATAAATCATGAACCTTGGTGTCCCAGATACCAGCAAAGGAAAACGGTTTATTTGTCTGTTCTCTCTTGAATTTCTTCATGATCACAAATACTTGAATGAAGGTCAACTGATGTTTTTAACTTTAGCCCTGGCCAGTTTGGCTCAGCGGTTAGAGCGTCAGCCTGCGGTCCAGAGGGACCCGGGTTCGGTTCCCGCTAAGGGCATGTACCTCGGTTGCAGTTTGTCCCCGGCCCTGGTTGGTTGTGTGGGTGGCAGCCACTCGATGTGTCCCTTTCACGTCGATGTTTCTCTCTCTCTCTCTGTTCCTCTCTCTCCCTCCCACTCTACCTGAACAAAAAAAAAAAAAAATGGAAAAATGTCCTCGGGTGAGGATAAAAAAAATAAAATAAAAACAAATACGTGAATACAGGTCAACTGATGTTTTAACTTTAGTGCTTTGAAAAGTATCTAAATAAAATATAATTTTAAATATGCATATATAGTAAAATATCAACAGGAAAAATGTTCACAGTGATTACCTCTGTGTGATAGGATTAGGACCATGTAAAGATGTGTTTTTTGTATTTTATTTTTATCTGGACCTTTTTGCAGTTTCCAAATTTTCCTACAGTGAAAATGTTTAATCAGAATATAAAACAGATATTCTTTTTGCAAACAGTTTTTTTCTAGATGGAAAATTATGTTTTGAATTATATTTTATGAATTGCCTGTAATATACACAAAAGTTCATTTTCTTGCCATACTTCATGGAGTGACAGACCATGTTGCATTCATCTTGGTATCCACCCACCAACTTTTCCCTGGGATTCATCAGGAGACTGGCACATAGTAGTTGTTCAATCAATAGGTACTGATTTAATTTGCTGTATTGAAATTAATCATTTTAGGTAAACTTCATAAAATATTTTGTTATCCTCACCTGAGGACATTTTTGCATTTATCTTCAGATAGAGCAGGAGGGAGAGAGGGGGGAAGAGAGAGAGAGAAACATCGTGAGAGGGACACATCGAGTGGTTGCCACCTACACAACCCCAACCAGGGCCGGGGACAAACTGCAACCAAGGTACATGCCCTTAGCGGGAACCGAACCCGGGACTCTCTGGTCCATGAGCCGACACTCTAACCTGAGCCAAACCGGCCAGGGCCATAAAATGTTTATTTTAAGAAATCTAGTCAGAGGTCATTCTTTCTAAAATATAATTTCTCAGGATTAGTCCTTGTCGTAGAGGTGGCTAACCATCCTTCTACCAAAAAATGTGCACTCTCCTTCATGACGCAGAGATTTGGGGAAGAGGCAGATCTGCCAAAGGGCACCCCCACGTCCTGCTTCTCTATAAGGCTGTAGGCCTGAGGTTTGGTCAATGGAAGGTGAACTAAAGTGCTGGCTGTCACGCCCAGACAGGGCTCATGAAAGCTGCCCATCTAATATCCTCTCTCCTCGCTGGTGGAGTCTCCATCAGCCTGGGACCCCCGGTAGTGATTAACTTTATGTGAATGAGAAATAAACTTTAATTGGATAAAGCTGCTGAGATTTGAGTAACAACAGGCCACTCACTCCTAGGAAATATTGAAAAATGTTTTATCATAATTGAAAGAAGTTCTAATGCAAGAAATGTATGCCCTGACCATTATAAAAACTAAGCATTTCTAACCAGCTCCCTTTTGTATAAACTGACATTTACATTCACATCCTGACAGAGAGGTCAAGAAGAATGGAAAAAGAAAAAATGGGTAACATTTATCTTCTGACTGCATTTAAAAGATGACAAAATAGCCTGGTCGATGTGGCTCAGTGCTTGAGTGTCGACCCATGCACCAAGAGGTCACAGATTGGATTCCCAGTCAGGGCACATGCCCAGATTGTCGGCCCAATCCCCAGTGGGGGGCATGCAGGAGGCAACCAATTGATGTTCTCCCTCATCGATGTTTCTACCTCTCTCTCCATCTCCCTTCCTTTCTCTCTAAAATCAGTAAAGAAAAAAAAAAAGATGACAAAATAATTGATGGGAAAATAAAAAAATTGTTCAGCCAACGTATTCAGGTACAAAAAGTCAAACTTATTCTTTCAATATGGTTTTTTTCAGTGGTTACAAAGCCATCATTGAGTTTAATCAGTTTAGTTGAAAATAACCTGGATCTCACCATTAATAATCTCTGAGATGCTTGGTTACCCATCAATTCAGAGCAGGCAGAGCCCCTCTCAAGAGAGACTGGGCAAGGTAAAAGGGCCCTTTGCAGTTAGCTGCCAGGATGTGCCTGACATCCTTGCCCTTAGCGGGTGCCTTTTGGTGATAAATAGTGGGGAAAACAAAGAATTTGGTTAAGGTGGAGCTGAAAAGGGGGTTCACTGTAATGATATGAAATGTACTCAATCCAGGACATTGTTGCTAGTTTTGTGTGGGTTCCTCCACCTCTTGCATAATTTTGGCTATTCTATAAGCATCACTTTCTGTAGAAATAGTTAACTACAGCAAAAATTTTTAGCAGTATTGGAATGAAATGTTATGTGTGTTCATCAATATAGTATACTACTGAAAAATGTAAACTTGTTAAGCAGAAAGTTTAAGGAAGTTAAACTATTCTTTGGCATATCTATAGGCTTTTAAAAAGAGTTCCTGGAATTTTTATTGAACTCTTGTATTGGTGTTTGACATTTTATGATGTCTGTCTAGATTTTAAATTCCTTAAAGGAAAGGTCTTTGTATATTCCCCTGTAAGCAGCTAGTATGATGTATTGTACACCTCGTGGGTGCACTCTTTAATCCTATTTAAACTGGTAGTTTTGGGGTAGGTCACTATCACTTACTAGCTGTGTGACTGTGAGCAAGTTACTTAATTTCTCTGTGCTTCGATTTCTAACAAGGTAATAATGGTACCTGCCTCATAAGGTTATTGTAAGAATTAAATGAGATGATACATGTAAGGGTCCTAGAAGTGTGCCTGGCACAGAGTACATATTATAATGCCAGCTGCTCGTATGACCACATTTTAATTATCATTACTTTATGAGATATTTATAAATATATTCTGTGTAAATGGAATGGCGCTCTCATATCAATGTGGTTTTTGCTTCAAATATATTTTATCTAAATAAATAATTGTTAATGTCTATAACATCTAGGATATTGACCTTTCCTCTTCCTCTCATTCTCCCTACAAGGTAATGTTCTGGTTTGTTTGTTTTTTTCAATCTATGCTTTAAATGAACTAGAAATGCTGACATAAAAATTAAAGGGTGATGTTTAAACAAAATTAACAATTATTTTGCAGTGTTAAAAATTCATCCTAAGTGGTCTGTTTGGTAATTTAAAAAAAAAAAACCCATATTTTTAAATTTTTTGTTGCTTTCAGTGCCTAGGACTGACAGCCAAAGGAAACGCGGTCTTGTCCGCACAGGACGGAGACTACCCGGAGGAAGAAGGGCAGTGGTGGCGTGGGGCTCGGTCAGGGCAGGAGAGAAGGGTATTTGTACATGCACCAACAGGCAGGCTTCCAGTATTTCTCTTTAAGTAATTTTTAAATAGATCTTTTTAGAGAGAGAGGAAGGGAGAAAAAGAAACATCGATGTGAGAGAGAGATAGATCGGCTGCCTCCTGCATGCTCCCCACTGGGGATGGAGCCTGCAACCCAGGCATGTGCCCTGACTGGGAATGGAACCAGGACGGGATCTCAGCCCACGGGACTGCACTCCATCCACTGAGCCACACCGGCCACTCCAGCATTTCTCTTTAAAGCAATCTTTGTCTTTATAAAATATTCTTCAGTGCTCAAAGTAGTCACCGGTGAGCCCACTTTCTGCTTGCTTTTGCTCAGTAATCAATCACTGGTCCTGCCAATGGTTGCCTGGAATCCTCTCACATTTGTCCCTTCCGTTTTCATTCCCAAGCGACCTTACCCACAGCCTTTGCAAATAGCCTTGAAAACTTTATTTATGAATGAATGAATTCATTATGGTGGATCTCTTATTCTTTTCTGTCTACGAAGACGGTTATCACTCTCAAAAGGTAAAGCTTTATGTTTGGAGAAGTACGTGAAACCCACAGGTTTGCTATTTTGAGGTGAATGCAAATGTGAGTGTAACAGTACCTTTTAGAGTTACTATAACATGTTATGTGTCTCCATTTAAGAGAGTATGTGATACAAAGTTTGCAGCTTTGTTGAAATGTTTAAATATCTTGACTAATGTTGAAATCAGCATTTAAATATTTAAGGAAAATTGGTTCATGAAACATGTAGTTTGACTTATGAGTTGCATAATGGTGTTTAAATATTTGGGAAATTGTGCTTAATTAATGTAAAAACTTAATAAATTGAACATTAAACAAAACTAAGTGGTAGTAAGTGTACTTTCCAGGCCAGAAGTCCCTGAGACATTAAAGATCCTAGCAACAGACAAGATAGATTTTATCCAGTAGATTTAACAGGCTATACCTTGGAGCAAAAATGCATGAGGTCTTGCTATTACTACTGAAAACAAAATCTGAACTAATATGCTTAGCAGGAAAACCCAGTTAGCAGCTGCATGGGTTGCTTTTTGTGATTATGTCTCTTGATAAGGATTATGATTTACGCTGTGGCTTGATGAGGCTTGGATCACAGGCAAATGTTTTGCCGTGTTCACCTCTCTAGTAATAAGCCCAAGGTTTATTCCTTTAAAACACTTCCAAGATTCAGCTTTATTAAGTGACGGGAATTGAGAGATGAGGGTTTGAGAGAGAAAGTAGCCCATGCAACCTGGATGATCATAGAGTTTTTAAGAAAAGGGAAAACTAATATTCCATTTTATGTTGTATTGATGTTAACCCTTCTGTCTCCCCCAGTATTCATCAAAGTTGCTATATAAACAGACACATCCAAGGTTAAGTATTTTCACTTCATATCGCTATCTTGAAAGAATGATTCAAGTTGCTAACTGATGCTAATGTAATATAATTCGTGGATGTGTTGATGATGCTTCCTAGCTGCAGTCATCATGTGAGGTTATATTTCTGGAATGGTCACTTTGACTTGTTACTTGCCTGGCTGATCTAAGATGCTCTGAGGATTCTCTGAGGACTTTAAGCCAATAATGCTTGGGGATTTCGTGTCCTGAAGAACTCTGTAATCCTGCGCTTCCTGAATCCCACTCTAAGCCAGGACCTTCTGTCACATCCTAAGAGTTACAGGCGGTTTGAAAGCTTTGCTAAGCAACCATTCTGTTTCACCTTTGGGTTCCTATGAGGTACCACTTAGGATCTCCTCAGTAACCTTGACCAGGATGTAGTTCCTTCTTGGCCCTCTGCTCCAGGTGGTGCTCTGAGGGTCTTCCTTTCTGAACCACAGCAGCAAAGCCAGCCACACCATGGGTGAGATCAGCCAAGAGGCCGTGGAGAGATACCTGGAGGACCACCCTCAGTTTGCCAAGGAGTACTTCGACAAGCAGCCGTGGACAGCGGCGCTGGGAGAAGCCTCCGAGCACAGCGGGGTGCGGGGCTGGGCCAGTGGGTCCTTCCCTGGGCTGTCGCCAGAGGAGGAGGCGACCCTGTGCTTGGAGCTGCTCCAGGCCATGCGGGAGGAGGTGGGCGGTGCCGAACCCGCGGCACACTTGGCATTGCAGAGGCTGGCGCAGCTGCTGCGGGCTGACCGCTGCAGCCTGTTCCTGTGCCGGTCCCGCAATGGCACGCCCGAGGTGGCCTCCAGGCTGCTCGACGTCACCCCAACCTCCAAGTTTGAGGACAACCTGGTGGTCCCTGACAGAGAAGTTGTGTTTCCATTGGACATCGGGATAGTGGGTTGGGTTGCTCACACGAAGAAAGCCCTGAATGTCCCAGATGTGAAAAAGGTAAGCGGCCTTATGACAGTGGGGTGGAGATGAGGACGTGGCAGCGTCCTGGAACGACAGTGGGAGAGAGAGCTGGGGGCCAGGGGCCGTCCCTGTGACATAACCCGGGGAGTGGGGGCAGCGGGGAAGAGGAGCACCCGGCCCAGGGCTGCCAGACTCAGCAAATAAGAGATACAAGAGGCCTTACTCAATCTGAATCTCAGATAAAGAATAAATAATTTCTTAGTATAAATTTGGCATTTTATCAGGCAACTTACCCGGGCCAGGTACAGTCCGCACCTTCTCCCTTGCTTACACCTCCTCCATGCTCCGGGCATGACCCTTCTGAACAGCACCACAGAGGAGGCCGCCCTGGTGAGCTCAGCCAACGTGCTGATGCCAAGATCCCTGAAGGGCGGCCAGGCCTCTCACCCACAACACGCACTTCTTTGGGATGGATTGGTTCATGAAAGGGTTCTTTCACCTACAGACCAAGTGTGCAACAAGAAAAATAATATCATTTGAAAGTTCAGATTTAGATAATTAAAAATGTGAATTTAGGTGATGATTAAGTGCCACGGACCACCCCAATAACTGAGACCTATCAAGAATGAATTCCACTGTGGTAAATGGGACATTTGGATGCTCCTGGGGACCATTATTGCACAGATGGTTATCATTTTTAAAAAACAAAACAAATTTGTCCTTACTATCACAATGCTTGTTCATTTTAGGGAAATTATAAAATGCAGATTAAAAGGGGGGAATGCAAAACACCCGCAACCCTCCACTCAGCACTCACGGTGGGCAGCAGCCTGGAGTTTCTCCCACCTGCCCCTTTTCCACACACGGCTCATTATTTTGATTTGCCAAAAGGGGAGAGGAGGATTATGCTGTCAGGGAGTTGACAGGGAGCCGCCCCTGACAGGCAGAGATTTATTGCCGGCTTGGGAAGGGGGCAGCTGGAGGCGGAAGGATAATGCCCCCAGGCCTCCTGAAGCTGATTAGGGAGGAGCCCAGGGATCCAGAAGTCTCCAGTCGTCCATCAGCAACACCCGGCAGACCACCACAGGGCAGCTGTCTGGTGCAAAGGTTGCCGGTGGGCACAGGGAGCCCTCAGTCCTTGTCCATCCCGCCCTTCAGTGAATGTAAGCTCATTTAAGTAGGTTTGCAGCCCAGTGCAACTGCTTTGGGTGACTACACCGAGGTGTGCCCTATGGCAGAGTTCTCTGGACACCAGACGAGGCTGTACCCACACACCCTGAGGTTTTCCTGTGGAAATGTGCTTTCGGCAGGTCTCCAGCTGAGGCCATCTCCAAAATTACCAGGACATCAAACTTAAAGTGACATGAAAGTTTTTTTCTGAAAGGTTTTCCCCCCTTAAGGAAGAGATGGATAAAATGACGTCGGCTGTAATACTCTGTCAATGAGCCCCGTTCCCCACGTTGAGGAGAAAATGGGAGAACAGAGCTGCTTAAAAGAGCAGGTGGCCTCGGTCTGTTGCTGCTCACGGTGAGCACCCTGCATGGACAGGGCAGTAAATGGGGGAGGGGGGGTTCTTGTCTCTCTGTTCTCTCTTTTCTGAACACTCCAGGCCTTTGTCCTCCATGTCTACTGCTTCTAAGCATTTTTCCCCCTCCAAGAGTGGTGCTTTTCAGCTTTGGATGCACATTCAAATCAAATTGGGAGATCTTCTCAGAATATTGACATCTGAGACTCTCAGTGGACAAATTGCAGAGACTCTCAGGGGCTGGGATGCAGACACTCGACCTTGGGGGTCTACGAAGTAAGAGGGGAGCCGCGTGGTGCAGGGTGACAGCTCTGGCACCAGACAGACCTGAGTGTACCTCCAGGTCTGAGACGAGGTAACTGTGTGGTGGATTGAGTCCCTGCACCTGCGAAATGGAGGTAACCAAATGTGCAGATTAAATGGACATGAAGTTCCTGATTCTTGGCAGGTGCTCAACAAATGACAGCTATGACAATATTATCTTCGTGCCAAAAGGGGCCTGGGGGCTGGTGTGGGTAGCCCAAACTGGGTCAATGGTTATTGCCTGTTTTTTTAAAAACGGGTAAAAGGCAGGACAACTTTGAATAACAGGAAACTGAGGGATATTCTTTTCAAGTTAATCATTTCTTTTTCTATGGTGAAAGCTGTTGATTAATTCTATGGATGGATTGTTCTCATTCTGATTGTGGTTAAAAGAAAGCCATGGAGAAGCCCTACGTTTTCAATGATTAACAGGCCCTTATAGCTCCCTTTCCTCCCTTCTCTCTCTTCTTTCTGTTTTCTCTTTCTGACTCCTGATCTCAAGGGATAATGGTATTTAATCAGAATTTAACAATGCTACGATTGGGTGAGGGATCCAGGTGGCCTACTGTTCTAAACAATGTTCTCTCCAGTTGCTTTTAGTGGCTGCTTTAAAGAAAGACCATCAAGGGGAGTTTGGGAACTTGAGAAATACAAATATACTCAAACAAACTTCAGTAAGGATTCTTTGAGCTACTGAAAATAAGAAAGTAGAAAGCCTCATTTCACCTACCCTGTAACTTGATGGATGATTTTATTCAGGGCTTTCAGATACAACAATAAGCAAACATTCTTCTTCAAACTTATAAGCCATTCTCTCAAAACAGCCAATTGAACTTGAGAGCTTTTCCTTGTGTGCAGAATCTAAAATTAAATAGCAGCAAGGGTTGAAGCTGCAAAGTGAAGTGTTAGCCAGGAGATGCCAACTCCACCCCACAGTGCATGTTTCTGGTATTTGGTTAACCCTTCAGTGCCCAGGATCATGATCTGTGATGGGTAACAGGTTAGGAGGAAGTGGAATGTGAGTGGGCCTGGGCAAGCAGTGGATTAAGAGAAAGAACTTAACTAAGTCTGAGGATGTCCTGGCCTGAGAGTGAAAATGCTTTGGGAAGCAGAGAGGAGTAACAGATAATGTAGTTAGGAAAGAAATGTGGTTCTTGCCCTGGCTGGTTTTGCTCAGTGGTTAGAGCATCGGCCCGAGAACCAGAGAGTCCCAGGTTCGGTTCCTGCTAAGGGCACGTACCTCGGTTGTAGTTTGTCCCCGGCCCCAGTTGGGGTCGTGTGGGTGGCAACCACGCTATGTGTCTCTTTCACATTGATGTTTCTCTCTCTCTATTCCTCCCTCTCTCCCTCCCACTCTATCTGAAGATAAATGCAAGAATGTTCTCGGGTGAAGATAAAAAAAAGAAAAGAAATGTGGCTCTTTTTTTTTTTTTAATATATATTTTTTTCTTTAGTGATTTTTAGAGAGAGAGGAAGGGAGAGGGAGAGAGAACATCGAGTGGCTGCCTCCTGCATGCCCCCATTGAGGATCGGGCCCACAACATGGGCATGTGCCCTGACCAAGAATCCCTCTGGGTGCATGGGTCGACGCTCAACCACTGAGCCACACCAGCTGGGCAAGAAATGTGGCTCTTGATGGCATGGGGTCGTGTAGGCCCTCAGAAGGAAGCATAGTCCTGGACACAGGAGGCCTACATTAGCTAAGAGCATCTAATTTCTTCACTGGTTAGAAAAACTAGAACTAGAAGCAAAATAGTAATTGTAAAAGATAATTATTTTTCACCCAGGGAGACCCAAAAAAGTTTCAGGTTTCTCTTCCTAGTATTTTTGGAACACCTACTATGTGTCAAACACTTTTCTAAGTGCTCTACCAATACTATGTTATTCTACCTTAACAAAGTTTTAATTACTGATTTTGAGAGAGGAAGTGAAAGGGAGAGAGAGAAACATCTATGTGAGAGCAAAACATTGATCGGCTGCCTCCTGCACACCCCCTACTGGGGATCAAGCCTGCAACCCAGCCTTGTGCCCTGACCAGGAATCCAACCGTCCACCTTCCAGGCACGAGACAAACACCCAACCAACTGAGCCACGTCAGCCAGGGCTGTTATTCTATCTCCATGGCAGGAACTCTAGACAGTAGCTAAGATCAATACCATTTTCAGATTAGGAAACAAAGATACAGAAGGTAAATAGCATGCCCAGCATTACACAACTAGCTAGTAAACTGGGCCTGGTTTCAGCCAAGGAAGTCTGACTCCAGAACCTTCTTTTTTTTTTATCCTCACCCGAGGACATTTTTCCATTTTTTGTACAGACAGAGTGGGAGGGAGAGAGAAGAAGAGAGAGAGAGGGAAACATCGATGTGAAAGGGACACATTGAGTGGCTGCCACCCGCACGACCAACCAGGGCTGGGGACAAACTGCAACCGAGGTACATGCCCCTAGCGGGAACCGAACCCGGGTCTCTCCGGACCGCAGGCAGACGCTCTAACCGCTGAGCCAAACCGGCCAGGGCTCCAGAACCTTCTTTAAGCTCATGCGCTGTTGCCTCCTAAATAAACAGTGGCCTGTGTGGTCCCACATTGGGAAAGGTATGGGGGAGATCTGGGGTGAGGGCCGGCATGTGTCTCCCTTAGCATCTCACATTTTCTCTGGGAAGGGTCCTATTTCTAGAGATTCTCCACAGGAATGATTCACCCACTAAAAAATACAGTTTCCTGGGGAAGACAGACTCCTCTTTAGGAGATTAGGGTTGATGGGCCTGCTGTGAGGGCTGCAAACCTGTGTTTATCTGCAGGTGATTCTGAGGCACAGCCCGGGACTGCTCTGAGCTGGGCTGGGGCTTCTGTTGACTAAGCAGCCCTTGTTCCCTGGTAGAAATTCTGGCCCAGAAGTTACACATCAATGAACTCTCTCACCATTTTCCTTTGGGAAACTGAACAAAGTCCAGCCTCCAAGATTTGTGCTGCTCTTAGAAGCACCAACATTGGGAAATGAAAATAATACCACTTGTGAAAGCAGCACCACGTTAATTTTGGCCAGTGGTTCTCAGAATTAGGGTGTGAGTTCAGTGCTAATGGGAAAAGCCTCCAGTTCGGAGAGGAGGTAGGAAGAACCATGGAAGGTGAGTCTACACCCACGCAGAGGCGGTTTCCTCTAAATACAGCCAATAAGAGAACCGCTGTCCTTGACCTGCTTCCCAAGCCCTTTTGCTTGTGCACCCCTCCAAACTCATCTCTCTGCTCCTTCCACGGTTAGTATATCAGAATCATCTCTTGCATCTACCACATGAGGCTTGTATCTGGGAAGATCCACTCCCTCTCTCCTACAGAGAGAAGAAGGTATATGAGTGAAAGACATTAGCCTGGTAGAACAATTACAACTGGTGAGGAGCTGGTGCTGGAGAGGCTGGTCCTCCTCACACACAACAGTGGAAGTAAGAACTCCAGCCTTTTGTAAAAGGACTCTGTGTAAATAGAAGCTGCATGTACCTGGCGACCCAGCAAAAGGGATTCCTGTTTTGGGAAGCCCACCACATAAACATAAAAGCAAGAATGGATCAGTAGAGGACGATCGAGTGGGTCATGGAGCTCCCACACTGGGGAGCAATGTGCAAGAATCTAGGAGGTCAGTTCACATCCAAATGCCCTG